CATACAATGATGCACTATGCACCTACAAATAATGCAGATGAAGAGAAGAAGGAGGAATTCTACAGACAACTTCAATCAACACTGGACAAGACCTCACTGCAGTTGGCGACGTCAAAATTCTAATGGGTGAGGTGACATGAGTGCGAAACTGGGAGGGGACAACACAGGAAGAGAACTCGTCATGGGTCGAGAAGCACTCGGTGAAGTGAGTGAGAATGGAGAGTTGTTTGCAGAATTCTGTGCATTCAACGATTTGGTGATTGGAGGTGAGGCAGTGTGTACAAACACAAGGATATTCACAAGTCAACAACATGGATTTCACCAGACACCAGGACACACTAAAAATCAAATCGACTTCATCTCAATCTCAAGAAAATGGAGACGCAGTCTACTTGACACAAGGCCAAGAAGAAGAGCAGATGTAGGTTCATACCACTGTGTAGTGCAAGGAACCTTCGAAATCAAGTTGAAAGCCTTCAAAGAAGTTGGTGATAGAACAGAATTCAAGTACAACACCCGGAAACTGAAGGACGAAACTACAAGGGACATCTTCACGCCGGTCAGCCATCAAGACAAAATGGGAGATATCGAGCAACATCCCTGAAGAAACCTGTGTGGATGAACACTGAGAGTCTTTGAAAGAGATGTGGAAAGAAACCTACATAACCGTATTAGGAAGGAGGAAGAAAGAAGACAAGGAATGGATCTCAATGGACACATGGAAGCTGATAGAGGAGGGAGAGGAGGATGGTGATGGTGAAGCAGAATATGAACCAGTGCAGTGCAAGGATGCTCAAAGAGAGGAGGAACTGAGTACAATGTATAAAACACCACACTGGACAAAGAAGTGAAGAAGAGTGCACGGAAAGACAAAAGACACTTCCACGACACACTGCCAAGTGAAGCAGAGCAGGCTGTTGGTAGAAAAGACCTGACAACATTGTATCAAATAACCAGGTTACTATCTAGGAAGACATAAACACACGTGAAACCAATAAAAGATGATGACGGAAATTTAATAACCAAAGAAGAGGAACAAAGGAAACGATAGGCTGACCACTTCGAAAAGCTCTTGAATCGACCACCACCACCACCTGCACTTTGTCCAGATATACCACCTGCAGCCCAGCCACAGAACTACAAGTGAACGCCAGCCCTCCGACGATAGTCAAAGTCCTGAACGCCATAAAGCTACTGAAATGCAGGAAAGCAGCAGGACTAGATGGAATCCCGCCAGAAGCACTGAGAGCAGACGCAGAGACAACAGTGGACATGCTCACACCACTATTGCAGAAGGTGTGTAAAGAAGAGAAGGTACCTGGCTAGTGATTGGAAGAAGGGTCACCTTGTCAAACTGCCGAAGAAGGGAGACCTCAGTGTTTGCAAGAACTGGTGCGGAATCACTCTGCAGTCCATCCCAAGTGAGCGAAATATTACGCCACATCATCCTGAAGAGACTGAAGGATGCGCTGGATTCAAAATTACGACCGGAACAGGCTGGCTGGCTGACTTCAGGAAGTACAAATCATGTGCGGACCAAATTACAACGCTACACTACGCATCATCATAGAACAGAGCATAGAATGGCAGTCAAGTCTCTACCTCAACTTCATCGACTTTGAAATGGCTTTTGACAGCGTCTACAAAGAAGTAATTTGCCAGTTGCTTCAACACTACGGAATACCACAAACCTTTATCAATCTCATTCAACAACTATCTGAAGACGCCACATGCCAGCCAAGTAATTCACAATGGGAAGCTCACTAATGCTTTTGAAGTGAAGACAGGAGTAAGACAAGGCTGCCGTCTACTATCACGCATGATATTCCTGGTTGTAGTGGACTGGATCATGCAACAAACAGTGAGGAGCTGTGAGAAGAGGGGGATACGCTGGCTTGACTGGGGAAAAGAACCTAGAAGATTTGGATTTTGCCGATGATGATTTATGTCTAATGTCTTGTGGCACAAACTTGAATATCTACGGGCGAAAACCAACAAGTTGACAGAAGAGGCAGGGAAGCGAAGACGGGACTTCAAGTGAATATAGAGAAGACAGAGGTGATGAAGATACCCAACCAACACCTCCAACAACAACAACAACAAGCTCCAATCACCATCAACGGGAGAAACCTAAAGGAAGTTGTCTCTTTCACCTGTCTAGGCAGCATCCTTTCAACTACAGGTGGCACAGACGAGGACGTCAAAGCCAGGCAGGATTGGGAAAGCAAGACAGGCGTTCATTAACCTGAAATCAGTGTGGAGATCTTCCGCACCCAGCATAAAGCGTCAACAAGATCCGGATTTTCAACACCAATGTCAAGTCAGTGCTTCTGTACGACTCAGAGACTTGGCGCGTCACGAAAGGCATTTCCAACAAACTACAGACACTCATCAACAACTGCCTACGCTGGCTCGTTACTGAATCTCAGATGGCCAGAATAATGAGAATAAGTAACGAGGAACTCTGGCTGGTGACGAACCAACCAAGAACCTATCACCCAACAAATATGCAGAAGGAAGTGGAGATGGATTGGATTGGGCATACACTGAGAAGACGGACTTGATACATCACGCGTCAGACCAGTCCCTCGAGTGGAACCTAGATGGGAAGCAACGAGTTGGGCGTCTGTAGTGAGGGTGACATGGAGGAGATCTTGTGAGAGAGAAATGAGAGCTTGTGGGCTGTTGTGGAGCCAGGTTCAAAAGATTTCAGAGAACAGAGCGCATTGGAGACGTGCTACTGAAGCCCTATGTTCCATTAGTAACCCAGGGGACCAATAATAATATATTAATAAGGTGATGCAGCATAATATTTTGCTCCGGGTGGACTCGAGTGGAGCATGACTTCCCGCCAGTTTTGCAAAGATCTAGGCCACTCCGGTTTTGGAAATTTGATAACATAACCTTTCTTCCAATCAGTTCAGGTGTTCTTCCACACAGGTTTCTTCAGGAGTATCGGTCAATCTCTACCATCTTGTCATGATGGCTGACGTGAACATGTCCTTTGAAGTTTCGTCCTTCAGTTCAGTTTCTGTTCTGGGTGGTTGTTCAACTTGAACTCTGTTCTATCACCAACTTCTTTGAAGGCTTTCAACTTGATTTCCAAGGTAGGTTCCTTGCACTAGATAGATAGTGAGTGGTGTGAAATCACATCTGCTCCTCCTCGTTATCCGATCTTGTGTCCGTCCAGTAGGCTGCATCTCCACTTTCTTCACATTGAAATGAAGTCAATCTGAGTTTCACTGTGTCTGTTGTCTTGTAAAATCCATGTTGTTGACTTGTGAATAACCTTTGTGTTTGTACACACTGCCTCACCTCCAATCACCAAATCGTTGAATGCACAGAATTCTGCAAACAACTCTCCATTCTCACTCACTTCACCGAGTGCTTCTCGACCCATGACGAGTTCTCTTCCTGTGTTGTCCCCTCCCAGTTTCGCACTCATGTCACCTCACCCATTAGAATTTTGACGTCGCCAACTGCAGTGAGGTCTTGTCCAGTGTTGATTGAAGTTGTCTGTAGAATTCCTCCTTCTTCTCTTCATCTGCATTATTTGTAGGTGCATAGTGCATCATTGTATGATTGTGACCTTCCTTCCTTTTGAGTTGAATCTTGTTGTCATGATCCTGATCCTACGGGAGGAAATTGGTTCCCACTGTATGAAAGCCTTCGATGTTCTCGGGGACATCTTGATAGCCACTACCTTTGTGTGTTCGTGGTTATCGTCTTGGTGACAATATCGGAGAAGATTATTGACTCTCCAGTTGACAGTTTCGAGAGTCCACTTCCATTCCATCTGCTTTCACAAATTCCAAGCACTTCAATATGATACCTCTTCATCTCGTTTGCAATCTGGGCTGCCTTGCTGGGTTCAAACATTGTGCGGACATTCCATGTCCTCACTCTTACTTTCGCTTTCATCGAGAGAAGCGAAGACACATCGGCCAATTGGCTTCCCGAAGGCTTTCACCAACTGGCGTCATTTCGCCTCTCCGATTCCAGCGAGGAATAATTTTGTTTTTATGTTTTATATTTTGTTTGTGTTGTGAAGTTTTTTTAGCGATCGGATTTGTTTTCCGGGGGAGGGTTGCTATCCCTATGCCCAACCTTCCCTCTTTACCCGATCTTAGGACCGGCTAGTAACAAGTGAACTAGTTAACTAGGTGAGGTTTAAATGAGGCATTTAGAAATAGTCAAATTTGAATAAGATACCTGATGTCAGAAAGTAAGCTTTGTTATATTACTATGTAGTTTAGAATGAAAGTGTAGGCGGCCAGAGTCAGAATCATACCAGTTTAATAACAGACTAGTGCATGAGAGGCTGTTACGATCATCATTTTTACCTAATTAGTTTCAACCTAAAAGTCACAGTACACAGTGGTAAGCTTTTCAAGACTTCTTGTAACCTGGAGTAAATAAATTGAAGCCTGAAGAAAATACTGCACGAAACAAACAACTTTGTAGCTTTTTATACCAGAACAATGAAAGAAAATGAATTAAAAATAATATAAGTAGCTCAAGTATTCGGTTAAAAGAAAGATGATTGGTTTCAAGACAGTTTCATTCGGAGTTGACATAATTTAGATAACCATTAGAAAACTTAGAAGACTGAACATTTTTTCGACTTAGTTTGGGACCTCCCATCAGTGGGACTTCAGAAAGTACTGAACTCAGAATTTTCAGATCATGATACTAGTTAGTCATTCGTTTGGTATCTATACTTTCACATTTTTCCATGACGCGACCATTGTTCAATGTGACTGGCTGTTATTTTTTCTCTAGTTCGACTTATCTGACTATACTCACTAAAAGCTAGAAATTGGTGCAAGAAGCATGATATAACAACGGAAAACACGGAAGGTATATTCAATAATGAAACGTAAATAAATTTATGGTCCAAAAGTAATAGAATCATAACAAGACATGTAAGCGAACAATTTTGTTTTCAATTAGATTTCATCAGGCTCCACTCTAATATACATAATTTTCATCATATTTGTAAAATGTTAAACAATCGAGGTAATTTGTGGGACAACAACATTAAGGAATACGGATTATAAAAAGGTTAATACGAATGTTAAACCATGCTATCTATGGCTTGCAACTACTATATCTCGGATTCGATTATGAATCACGCTAAGATTTAGTTACGTGACCATCTTGTACGCTAGTTCACTACAGCTGGATAGCTCAGGGATCTGAGTAGTAGAAAATTGACCAGACTGTCAACAATTTGAATGTAATGGTTTCACGGAAAATGACTTGTACTACAAAAGATAAAATAATAAGACAATGGCATCTTACCTGTTTCACTAGCGTCACTTATATCTCAGTCGTAAATGTCTATTTGATTGTTTATCTGTTTTGCAAACAGAATTCAAAGCAAACGTGTACACTGAACCTAGGTAAATTTTCAGGTATGTTGATTACACTGAGATTTAATCGGTCACATTTTTGACTGTGTGAATGTGCGTTTCATATTTAATGGAGGAATATGCAATTCAGTAGGCAAACTCACCGTGTAGTCTCCACTATCCCCTATCGTAACCAATAACTTTATGGTAAGTTATAATATTGGACGTTTTTAGAAGGTATATGGATAATCCATCAGGAATGTTTGTTAGATAGTGGTATGACCAAAAGCAGTATCCTAACGATGTAAATGGCTGTCCTATGATGGATGACCGAGAGTGAATTTGTACTGTCGGTTGAACAGTCTAATTGCAGTAAGGATGGTCAGAAGTACTAGGCTAATACTGCCTTCTCTATGCAAAGGGAAATTAGAAAAGGCTGGCCCTAAAATATCACATTCCTCTCTGTCCTACTGTAGTCCGATGCTGGCAGTATCTGTTTTCCTGTTCAACGTCATAACAACTAAGTTTGAAACCAATAATCCCGAAACGTTGTATATGAAACTCTTCAGACACATGTCCCATGGGCCTAGCAATCACGCAAATTTCTTCCTTCCTCTCAGTCAGACACTCTGAAGAAATAACTTCCACGCTGTGGGTGGCCGGAAGGCACCAACCAGCAGCGCGCTTCCAGAAGAGTATAGTGCACTGTGAAGCATCACTTACCCTCCCTGTCTTTCTCTCCTCTTTTGCCTTCACTTACAGAAACAGACAGTAAACCTATCACAACTTCCTCAATCTGAAAAAGATGGTATGCTGATAATCTCTAAGGACAGTCGGCTGGAATTTTGAACAGAACACTGTGAATTAGGGTTCAGCTGGCTCACAGTAACCCTTCTCTTGCCCAGCATCCAGCTGGAAACTGAATGGGGCATAGATGTCGTTCCTCCATCTCTCCTTAAGGTTGAGAAAACTATTTCTAACCAAAAATGATGCAAAGCAGGAGAGTATGACGGTTTACCATTAGGAGTTTGTTAGGAAGGATGTGGGTAGTTACTGAGTAGAGTGATAGAGGTACTAGGTAGTACATGGGAATCAGTAGAAGACCTATCATACTGGTCTACTTCATTGATCATTCTAGTCCATAAGAAAATAGAGAAATCCTTTCGTGACAACCGTAGGGGAATCAGTTTGGCTAGTATTGTGTCCAAGATCCCACAATCCATAGTTACTCGACGCTTAACTGGAGCTCGAGAAAACCAGACAGGCACCTGGACCAGGGTGCATCAAACAGGTTCTCACCCTTCGACAGGATCTGGAACACAGGCATACCTACCGACAAGTGGCCCATAGTTGCCATATTTCTTGACCTGAAGGCGATATTTAACTGTGTTGACCGCGAAGTGTTGTGGCAATGTCTGACAGTGAAGGGAGTACCGAGCGTGTATATAATGCAAATCAAAGCTCTTTACCCTAACTCACACACCTGTGTAAAGGCTTGTAGAGAGTTGTCATGTGAATTGATGACAACTAGCGGTATCCACCAGAGATGTCCACGCCTGAATTCACGGAGACTGGCCTACTCCTTGGAGGTCATCTGGTTGGCTTGGAGTAGGTAGATGATATTATCCTGGTAGTCTAAGACGCCGAGTAAATCCAGGGTCTTCTGAAAACTTTGAGCGAAAACATTAGTATTTTTGGCCATCGTGAGTCTCGCACCAGCCAAATCCAAGATGATGATGCAGGACTGGTCTGTAACCATTCCCAATCTAAGAATATGGAATAAACTGGGGAATACGTCGACCTCTTCACCCACTTGGGGGTCGCATCAGCCTAAATGAGCTGGTTGCTGACCAAATTGCAACTTGAATACGGAACACGCACTTGGCATTTGTTAACTTGTGTCATCTGTGGCGTTGACTGGCGAGATTATCAACTATCTATCAAAGGAGAAGTATACTATGCTACAGTCAGTTATGTACAACTATACAGTTATGAGACATGGTCGCTGAGAAAAGATACGAAGATTTTACAAAGTTTCGGCCGCGGGTGCCTTCAAAGCATTGCTGACGTATGATGAAATCACTTTGAAGCAACTTTAAGGTAAGATGGAGGTTAAAAGGTAAGTCAGTCAATGAGGTTGAGTACCTCCACCAACTGAGATGGCATGGATGCGTGTTGCACATGCCAAGCTACCGCCTACCCCGACATGAGATGTTTACTGAATTAGGGACTTTGTTGGAAGGCATATCGAGACGTGGTACCAGTTTCTGTTTGACGTTCTGAGCTATATAGGGAGGTGTTTTCTACCTAATTAAAACCTTCGAGAAAATATGAGTCAATGGTTGGAACCCCATGATGACATGGCAGAAAAACGGGAACAATACTGCAGATGTATTGGCTCTTCGACATCTTCTAAAGCTTGTGTATCATAACTACTCATCATTTTTTTTCAAATTCTCTCCGTGTGTCATTCACCTTTGTTTATTCTGAAATCACATTAGTCTACCCCTCCTTTTTTTGTATGCTAATATGAAGTGTGGCAACCTGAACCTATCCACTTCAATGCGAGGTTCTACGTTGATTCTTTTTTGTTTGTACATGAATGATACTTTTCTTATTTTTGGTTAAACCTGTTTGGTTGTTGACTACCAAGGATGAATGAACTAGTAATCCTCATGATTTTATAAAATTCATTGTTGGGGAACAATTAAACTCTACTTCTCAATTTTTAAATATAATTCTGATGAAGGCACACGATAGTCCACTGAGGTGGTCGATTTATCGAAAATTGACTTAAACCGGACTGTTTATCAACTTCAACAGCTGGGTACCGTTTAGTAGAAAAAGAAATTTTATTCATTCCCCATGTTCCGGAATTTGAAAGATCACAAACGATACATTTGATAATTAACTTGAAGTTCTCAGAACAATTCTATTTAATAATGGATATCCTAAAACATATTTTGAAAGAATCAAGGAAGTAATTACGTTTTACTCAATTACAGTCCCTAAAAGGATCTCATTTATTAATTTGGGATTCAAGAAAGACACTATAGCTCAAGTACGGTAGAGCTGCTTGTTAGGATGCATCTAATCTTTCAACTTATATTCAGTTTTTGAATGGCAGTCTATCATTTACATCCACTTGAATATGAACCCATCATTTCATATATTACTGTAGAACTAACTATACTGCACGCTATAAGTGGATTACCCGTAGATGTGTCACCTAGATTTATTAGCAGACATTAAGAAAAGAGTCATAAGGACCACAAAAGAATGATTATTGCAGCCGTTACGCGAAGATGGAGATACTAAAGCTGCTTTTAAAGATGGATTGACTATAATGTTGGCGTAGCATTACAATAATACTCATCCCAAAGAAGCCTTGCATCATCTATACTCTGCCATTAATACAAAGGTTGGTATAGTAACTGATCACAGAAAAAGATAAAGGAAAGCAATTAAATCTCAGCAGCGTCATTCTAATTAATAGATGGATAAAAACATATACGCGTGGGTTTCAGATACAGTGAAGAAGAAAAACAACTCAAGTATTGCTTGGTAATAAAACTTTACAATAAACGTGAGCAAGTGTGACCAGCGAAAGGTTGAGGTAGAAAAGGCAACGTGGTTGGCAGTAGCAGACAGCTAATTTTGGAAACAGGTGTAAAAACGTTGGTACAATAGCTGATTAAAATGAGTTTGTAATCAACATAGTAAGGACAACTAGAACGATTTACGAAGTACTTTAACGAACAGCTTAGTTGGCCTTCAGCTACCCTTTAGTTGCCCGATATCTGTTCCCTGGTTTACATGGGACTTTGGTGTAAGGTCACAAGCTTCTTCAGAAGTTGAGAAGGCTGTATACACTCTAAGTTATTTAGAGATGTTAGCCTAAAATAGTGGACCAAGTTTTTGCAATTAGATCCCCTGTGACTGGTCTCAGTTGCTACTTGTTCTTAGCTTTTTAACAACTATATAGGTATTGGCCGCATGAACACATCTTAAGTTCCTTGGTCATCAAATGTCTATCCGTACCTTTGCAGTACCAAGACTGAAAACTACACAAATTTCAGACCTGGTCACAATTGTATTGACCAAATATTCGCTCTCAGTCAGATTCAGAAACATAAAAACACCTACTGGCTATTTATCCTAGGTGTCTTTCCGAACCTGAAGACAGAACTCATTTTCATCGATCGAGATGTCTCGTGACAATCTTTCTCTAAAAGAGACTCAGTAAGTAACTCAACTTGCTTATTGCTTCATTCTGAATATACGTGTGCTGAGTCTGATAATGAATTATCCAGTTAAATGTTCGCGTCAGGTGGTGTCCATTAAGATTGTCCACTTTACTCTTACTTTACTATTTCCATGAATGCATATTTGAAGATTTTCTTTTCTTCCCCTAACCATATAATTTGGTCTGAAACGACATTCTTCATACGACCTAAAGTACACAGGTCATACAGTTCTGTTCGATGGCAGTGATTACAACATGCAAGCTCTCCCCAACACTGACTGACAATTAAGGAACGTTTGAAATGTGTTTCTCATCCCACAAACACAAACTATCTCTGCAGGACCAGTCGGTGTTGGTACTTTGCTTGACAGTTGGGAGTGAATCAGTCAGACTCATCAACCATTTGATTTACCTGGCAAGTTGTATCATCATCGATGAGTTGGTGGTTGATCAAAGAAAGGGTAGGCAAGAGTGTAAACGGCTTGATCACCATTCTCCGACTAATACCACACTCGGTGTTCCAGAGTTATCCAACCGTCTACAAGCTGCGGAGTGCAGTGTGGACCACCTCACTCTGATCAACAAAGTGGTTATGAGACATGTGCATTAAAGGTGAATGAAATGAAGAAGCTCGTTGTGTTCGATTGACGTTGTCTTCGTAGCATCGCCAACATATCATGGGACCACCATATCAGTAGTGTGGAGGTTACACGCAACGGGGTCATAGCAACGATGTATTCATGTCTTCATCGACTATAATGTCGAGGATATATATTGAGTATACCTAGTCAAAGTTAGCCCTAATGCAAAATGTTAG